CAAAAAACATCATGCAGAGTGTATGTTAGACTCAGCTTCACTGTTCAGCTTCAGCCCCTGGGCAACGGGTGCCCTGTAGTTCCAGATAAGGTGCCATGTACATGTGTAAATATCAAATGAATGGAAGATGTGCTGTTTATCTCCCTCCCTGTGAGCTACCGAAGCCACCCCGGCCTCTGCCCAGCATCCCGCCTTCCCAGTTAATGCCGGGGTTTATCCTTCTGCCTTGGTGGAAGAAGAGGAGCAGGGTGATGGGCCTCAGGAGACACTGTGGATAGATTTCTGAAAACGTCCATACAATGTGCAGCGGCAGTCAAAAAAGTGAACAGAATGTTGGGAATCATTAGGTACGGAATAGATAATGAGACAGAAAATATCACACTGGCGCTATATAAATCCACGGTATGCCCACATATTGAATACTGCATGCAGATGTGGTCGCACCATCACAAAAATATACTTTGGATTTGGAATAGGTACAGAGAAGGGAAACAGAAATGATTATGGGCATGGAACAGCGTCCATATGAGGAAAGATTAAAAAGACTAGGACTTTTCAGCTTGGAAAAGAGGGGGGATGTGTGAGGTGTCTGTAGCATCATGAATGGTGTGGAGAAATTGAATATGGAAAAGTTATTTACTCCTTCACATAACAGAAGAACTAGGGGTCACCCAATTAATTTAATAGGCAACAGATTTAAAAGAAACAAAAGGAAGTATTTCTTCACAGTCAGTCTGTGGAACTATGTGCCAGAAGATGCTGTGAAGGCCAAAAAATAACAGGAAGGAACAGCAGGAACTAGAAAAATTAATGCAGGATAGGTCCATCAATGGCTATTAGTCAGGATGGGCAGGAATGGTGTCCCTTCTCCTTGCTAGAAGCTGGGAGTGGGAGACAGGGCATGAATCACTTGATGATTGCCCTGTTCTGTTCATTCCCTCTGAAGCACCTGGCATTGTCCAATGTCCGAAGATAAGATACTGGGCTAGATGGACCATTGGTCTAACCCAGTATGGCAATTCTGAGGTTCTTATATAGACCCCAGATGTATCTTCTCCCTGCTGTAATATAGTAGACTCACTTACCTGTCAGATCTGAGAAAAAAAACATAAGTCCTGACACTAGCTCTCTCCACAGACATAGTAACAAAGTTTGAATATACATTTAAATTTTAACCTAACCGGGATCCCTTAAGTGACTTGCCACACGATATCAGAACATATTAGTATTGGAAGTGAGTGGGTCTAATATTTTTTTCTTTTATGTATAAATTAGATAAAGTGCCCCTTCACCTAATTGCTAAGTTGTCAGCCAAAAAAACTAGAGTTTTTCAAGCATCTCGATAGCCCCTGGAATCACTCTTATGGTTGCAATCCCTATCAAAATTTGAAACGGTTCCCTTGCAGCTGGGGATAGGGGAAGGGGAAATTATCAAGATAGTTACGAGAGAGGGGAAGAGAGGAGCAAGTGACAGGAGCAGGGCATTGAGTGGAAGAGGCAGAACGGGGTGGAGCCTTGGCAGAAGAGGTGGGTCAAGGGGTTGGGTTTTGGAGGTCCAGTTATAAGCAGATAGAAAGGTGACAACCCAGTAGTTTCACACAGACTGATTACCCAGTTTGTCACACTGGCACTGAAGACAAAATGGAGAGGCTTCCAGGGCCTTTTATATTCTCTCTCTTGTGGGTGGAAACCCCTTTGTTCTTCTGTGCAAAGTCACAGCAACAAAATGGAGTTTGTAGCCACCTGGGCAAGTCACATGTCCATGATTGATTCAGCTTTTTGCAGGCCGATGCCATTGTTTACATGGTAGTCTGAACATTCCCAGGAAAGCTCAGATGTGGATTGGCGTCTCCCAAAGTCCATTGTTAGTTAAGTGCTCCCAGTGACTTGAATAATACCTTCATAACACGTTGGCCAAACCTTTCTTATGTGTTTCCTACCGCAAACACTTTAAATACAAGCATAGAGCCCACACTTATAACTTCAGATATAAAAACGATACATGCATACAAATAGGATGAATATATTCAGTAGATCATAACCTTTGCAAAGTTATGTTACATGGCGTATCTAGTATAAAGCCTATTCCAGTTATGTCAGATTTACACTCATAAGCATATTTCCAGAAACATATAGAGTGCAACATCACAGCCTCCTCCTGAGCTTACTACGAGAGACTTGGACACTGCCCATGGCGGAGGAAGTACATGTAAAATCCTTCTTTGTCTCTCGTCACTCCCCCTTTCAGTACCTTTAAATCTCATGATGTCATTCATAGGTGTCCTAACAAGGTGTGGGGTTCCTGGTCCCTGGGTGCCTGAAAACATGTTGGGGTGCAGTATTGCTAACAGAATGCAGACAGCAATATCTGTTCAAGTGGTGGTGTCTTGGCATTTAGCCACCAATGCCATGAGGCCTGTGCCTTAGTTTCCCCTTCCACACAGCAGCGTGGCCTGTGATGCTTTTGCTGCTCAGCCAAGCTTCCAGCCTCTTTACAGGTATAGGCTGAAAAGCAACATGCTCGTGGGACTGTTTTGTCACCATCCCTAGCATGTACAAATATTTTTTCCACAAATCAGGTATGTTACATACACCTCTACCTCGATATAACGCTGTCCTCGGGAGCCAAAAAATCTTACCGCGGTATAGGTGAAACTGTGTTATATTGAACTTCCTTTGATCCACCAGAGTGCGCAGTCTCACCCCCCGGAGCACTGCTTTACCGCGTTATATCAGAATTTGTGTTATATCGGGTAGCATTATATCGGGGTAGAGGTGTATCTTTAAAAGGGATTACCATTAGTATTAACCTCTTTGTCTTGACCCCTAGATAAAGTACCAAAAGACACAAGATTAACAGCCAATTTATGATGGACAGACTTTGTTCACCCAGCCTGGCTTGCCCAGTGTTCCCTGTATTTCCCAGTCCCTTTGTGTACCATGGTAGGTGCTCAGATACAGAGTCTTCGGCCTTTTTGCTGAAGGCTCTCAATTCAGGCATGTGTTTGAGGCTTTGGCAAGGAAAGGGTGAACTACAACAATGGCTGCCCTTGGCCCCTCCCTCTGGAATCTCTTTGTGTTGGACCCCACCTCCTTGTGAAGCTTCCCAAATGCAAAGTTTTCCTTCTTCCAGCCTTGAAGAGACAGTGTGATCTCCCACAAGGGTAGCAGGAATAACATTATTTAATGGAGTGCTTTGGATTGGTAAGATCCCCTCGGTCACCCCACTCTCTGTTCCCAAAAGGTCAGTTGGGGGGGCGCTCCCCTCCAGGAGATCTGACCCCGAGTTTTCCCTTAAACTCCGATCCACAAGAGAGGGGTCTGGCATTTCAGATGCAGATTTTTCACCCTCCTCCTGGGGAAAAGCCTCCCTACAAATGGTGGGCAGACTCTATGCCCCCCCCGCCACCTTCCGTCTGGACTTCCCTCTCTGGGTTCCCCTCTGAGGCAGACACTCCTGTGTCCCGTAAAAGGGAAGGTGACCCTGATTCAGCTGTGGGCGCACAGCGACCAGCTATGACAGAACCTTCACTGGCCAGCCAAATCCCGCCCCTTTCACTCAGGTTGGGCTTGTTTCCAGTTACAGTGCCCTTGGGGTCTGTTCCCACCGCAGCGGTCGTCAGCTTCCATCTTTGAAATACATGTCTCTGTGCACCCCAGGGTGTTACCCGGGGTTCTTTCAACCCAAAGCTCTTGGTAACTTTTACTCTGTGCGAGGAGGTGTGAGGAAATAAATCAGGGGAGACACGGCCGTCCGACCGATAGATGGCTGGCACAAACAGGACAACATAAGAGTGCTTTCACTTAAAGCTAAACTTTACTTAGTCTCAAGCACTTACACAGGTCCACAACAGGTTAGTAAAACACCCCCAGTACTTGATAATTACCGACACTGAGCGTGGCTCTCGAGTGAAACAGCGATAGGCTTCCGGTCGCCAAATCTTCCATCTGCCGGTGGGGACCTCAAGATGTATCCAGAGGTAGAGTTAAAAAAGAGTCCAAAAGAGTCCCCAAATGAGTCCAACTATCTCAATATTTTCCCCCTTATTTATACATTAGTAATAGAATGACATGTCCCTTAAAGAAAACTGGTTAAGCAAGCAGTTCCAATGGTATGGAATATGGAGAGGACAAAAATGAGTATGGCTTCTCTCATTCCTCCCCTCCACTCTGTGCCTGAGGCTTGGGGCAACCTGAATTAAGGTCTTCTGCGGATGCTCCAGCCGGCGTGGCCTGGGCTCTTCCTCGCCCATTCCTACAGTGGCTGGAGACTTGAACTCCTGCCAGATGAAGCAGAGGCAGGCTGGGATCAGGGCTTCTGCCCCCTTCTGCCAAGCTGCTCCAGATGAATCAGATGAGGATTGCCATGTTCTGTTCATTCCCTCTGAAGCACCTGGCACTGGGCACTGTCAGAAGACAGGCTACTGGGCTACATGGACCATTGGTTTTACCAGTACGGCCATTCTGATTTTCTTATTTAGACCCCAGATGTATCTGCCTACCCTCCCAGAGCTGAGATAGATCCCAAGAGTCCTGATGGGGTCTCTATCTCCACAGAGATAGTAACAAATTGAGAATAAACATTAAAATGTTAACACAAACCAGTGCCCCTTAAGTGACTTGCCACAAGATGTGAGAACATATTGGTTTTAGAGATGACTGGGTCGCAGCTGACAAGGGGAGGGGAAGACAGGAGGAAGTGACAGAGGCAGGGCCTTGGGGAGAAGACACACAGCAGGGTTGAGGCTTGACAGAAGAGATGGGCCAAGATTGTAATTTCAGGGATCCAGCTACCAGCAATTAGAAAGGTGGCAACCAAGTGTAGTGTACATAGACTGACTCCCCAGTTCATCACAGTGACACAGCACAGTAAGGACAGGAAAAGTTTTAATGTCTTTCTGTCTGTCCAGTAAGTGATTCAGGGAAGAGGCCCCAGCACCATGCACCAGCCAGCTCTGCACAGAGCTCAATCTGAGAGCCAGAGCACAAGGAGAAAAACATTAGGTCTCTTTATGAGTAAAGAGCTGGAGTAGCCTGCCCCGGATCTGTTTGGTCCTCACCCCGTAAATGATGGGATGTAGCATGGGGGGCACCAGCAGGAACATACTGGCAGTGAGAACGCGCAAATGCAGTGGCACATTCTGGCCAAATCGCTGCGTGAGAGACGAGAAGAAATCTGGGATGTACAAAAGTAAGATGGCACAAAGATGAGAGATGCAGGTCCCAAAAGTTTTCAGCCGGGCATCCTTCGTGGGGAGGCGGAAGATGGCCCTGAGGATCAGAGTATAGGACATGGCAATAAAAAACACATCCATTCCGATCACACAAAAAAGATTAAACAGGCCATAGTAACTACTGATGCGGATGTCAGCGCAGGCCAGGTTCACCACAGCTATATGCCCACAATAGAAGTGGGGGATGATGTTGGTTCTACAATACGGCCACCGCCTCGCTAATAAGGGATAGGGTAATGTGACAATGCCACTGCGCAGCAGCACAGCCAGGCCTATCTTGGCCACAACAGAGTTTGTCAGGATGGTGGAATATCTCAGAGGATTGCAGATGGCTACGTAGCGATCAAAAGCCATGGCCACGAGGATTCCAGACTCCATCGTTGAGAAGGAATAAATAAAGTACATCTGGGTGAGGCAGGCCCTGAAACTGATCTCCCTGGAATTGAACCAGAAGATGCTCAGCATTTTTGGTAGGGTGGATGTGCACACGACCAGGTCAGTGATGGCCAGCATACAGAGGAAATAGAACATGGCCCCCTGGAAGCTCGGCTCCATCTTCACGATGAGCAAGATAGTGAAGTTCCCCAACACGGCTATGACGTACATAGCACAGAAGGGAATGGAGATCCAGATATGGGCTGCCTCTAGGCCAGGAATACCAAGTAGGATGAAGGTGGAGGGGTTGCTGAAGTCGGTTGTGTTGGAATCTGACATGGATTAGGGGAGAAGGTGTCCAACTCTGAAGAATAAGGGTGTCTCCTGCATGTACCGTACGTTCCTCTGTCTTACTGTGTGTTCCCAGGATCTCGGGTGATGGTCGCAGTTGAAATGCCTGAACGGAAAGACAATGTTAATATGAGACACTACATACATTAGTGGAGACTGCTCTCATGGGAGAAGGAGTCTGATCACTCTTCACTGAAAAATTACTTTTTCATAAATCAGAGACAATAACTATGAATAACGACCCTACTAAATCCAATTCCATATTTTGTGTTAATAATTCCTACATATTGTGGTGGGGGAACCTTAAGAGGCCCCAGCAGGAGACACAAGTGTGGATACTGGTTATCCATCATTATTCCTTAATGCAATGATAGCCAGGATAGGGAGTCAATTCTGTAGAGAGTTTCCCATTGATCCAGTTGCTTGAAATCTGAGAGTGGAAAAAAACATATGCTGGGAGAAACATCCCAACTAGAACATACCTCATGGAAAAGATCTGTGCGCCATTGATAGAAGCTGCAGAGAAACACCTGCTCATTTGCAGAAGTGGACAAAACAAAAGAAATGTTCAGATCACTAAGATATGGGATGGAGAATAACATGTTCGGGATGTGTGTTCAGTTTTGGTCACCGAGTATCGATTAAGGATATAGCACATATCAAAGGGATTTCCAAGACAGGCTCTGAGAATGGGGGAGGCTGCCATATGCAAACATAAAGAAAAGTCTGGGACTCTTTAGTTTACACAAGAGACAAAGAAGGGAGCATATGATATAGAAGAAGAAAATAAAAAATGAAACTGAATTACATTCAAATGGCCAGTTCCCATTCAGTACTATCTATAGACACTTAGAACTCCAAGAGGACTAATTCCCCAAAGCTGAGGAAAATTGTCAGCAAAACTGATTGGGAGGAAAAATATACACAGAAAAATATGAATGAAAATTGGTAATTCTTTGATAACAGTTTATTAGATAGTGGAAAAATCATGATTCCATAGTTAACAAAGTGAACAACTTTGGGTAAAAACCCATTTCAGTGGCAAATTGAAGGCAGAAATTGGGGTGGGGAAGCAATAGGCAAAAAATAGGAAAAATGTAAAATAGATAGCCAAGAATAGAAATCGGAAGTTATGAAAGTTGATAAGGGAAGTTACGACATCAGGGAAAACTCCATGTTTGGCAGGGCTCTGGATCAAAGAAAGGAGGTTTTTAAGTATGTTAACAACAAGAGAAATCCTAGAAAAGTTTTATATCAATTCCTGTGTTAAATGTAAAGTTTTAAAAAATAAAGGGAAAGGGGTTTTTTTTATAAAAGAATTGACAAGGTTAAGAAACAATGGGAAAGCTGGTATGGGATTAGTTCAAAAAAAGTCTAGAAGGGTAAGTTATGCCTGTCACCAACAAGGTTTATGCAAAAGAGGCCTTGTCAAATAGACCTGATTTCATCCTTTTATGAGAGTATACATTGGTTGATAAAGGGTATACATTGGTTGATCAAGTGAACCACGCAGATGCAGCACACCTTGATTTCTCAGAGGCATTTGATTCAGTAGTGGAAAATACTGAGTTAAAAAATGAACACCCTAAAATATCAGTAGAAAGCATGTAAAATGGACTGGAAACTGGCTAACTGATGGATCTCAGAAAGCTGTAGTCAATAGGCCTTCGTAAGTAAATGGGGTTGTTTGTAGTGGGGTTCTGTAGGGATCAGTTCTAGGCCTGATGCTATTCAATATTTTAATCAATGATCTGAAAGGAAATAGAAAATCACTGCCGATAAAATTTGTGGATGACCCAAAGATTGGCAGAGTGGATACAATGAGGAGCCCAGGGCAGGCATACCGATTGATATGGAGCATTGGTAAGAGGGGCCCATGCAAACAAACTCTTTTAATACAGTGAAATGCAAAATTATCCTCTCGGAAAAGGGAATGCAGGCAGAACTCAAAGACTACAGCACTGTATTATGGAATCCAAGGACACTGAAAAGGATTTAGGGGTCATTATGGACAACCAACTCATCGTGAGCTCCCAGTGTGATGCTGTAGCATAAAGGGACGATGTGATCCTTGGATGGATAAACAGGGGAGGTGAGTTGGAGCAGGGGAAGGATTTTACCTCTGCACATGGAATTGGGGAAACAAACTGCATCCAGTTCTCGGGTCCACATTTGATAAAAAATATGTTGAAAGAGGGGACAGAAAAGGGCCATAAAAGAGCCACTTGGAGAGGGGGCAGAAAAGAAACACAAAAGTGATTGGAGGATAGAGAAAAAGAGGGACCTTCGACTTGAAGGTGTATATCTCTTTAATTTATCAAAGAGATGATCAAGCGGAGACTTTCATGTGGAGAGAACCATGGGTAATAATGGGCTCTGTAACCTACCAGGGAAAGGCAAGACCGAAGGGCTAGAAGTAGAAGCCAGGCAAATTCCAGGTAGAAATTAGGGCCAAATATTTAGCTCTGAGGGTGATTAAGCATTGGGGGACACTGAGAAGGGAAGTGTTGGATTCTCCAATTCCCCATGTTGGGAGATCCAGATTTTTTTCTGGAAGATCTGCTTGATGGGTTGTTTACACTTAAAATGCTACAGCATTACTGCCATAGCACTTCACTATAGACACTACTTACACAGATAGCAGGGGTTCTCCCCTCAGCACAGGTAATGACCGAGAGGTGGTAGCTAGGTCGATGGAAGAATTAATCTAATGTTCTCTGCACCAGGGCACAGATTATCCAAAAAGTTCTTGGAATGTATTGGAGATAAATTTTTGTTCCAGAAGCTGGAGTAAGCTACTAGGAGAGAGGCTGTTCTAGACTTGATTTTGACAAAGGAGGAGGAACTAGTTGAGAATTTGAAAGTGGAAGGCAGTTTGCGGGAATGTGATCATGAAATGATAGAGTTCATGTTTCTAAGGAATGGTAGGAGGGAAAACGGCAAAATAAAGACAATGGATTTCAAGAAGGCAGATTTTAGCAAACTCAGGAAGCTGGTAGGTAAGATCTCATGGGAAGCAAATCTAAGGGGAAAAATAATAGAAGACAGCTGGCAGTTTTTCAGAAAAAAGAACAGGAGTACTTGTGGCACCTTAGAGACTAACAAATTTATTAGAGCATAAGCTTTCGTGGACTACAGCCCACTTCTTCATTATTAAGGGCACAGCAGCAATCTATCCCACTGTGTAGGAAAGATAGGAAGCATGGCAAGAGATGACAATGACTTAACCAGGAGATCTTGAATGATCTACAAACAAAAAAGGACCAAGTTGAATTGTTTTTGAAAGTTTCAGGCATAACAGTTCAGCCGACTTCTCGAATGAAGCTAGCCGACTTCTCGAATGAAGCTAGGAGAAAGTATGTGTTACTCATGTTGAAAAATTGTTCTAGTGAGGAGCCCTAGTAACTCTAATCTTTCCAGCAGATAAAAGTCAGGTAACAGCCCCTGTCCCCCTGCCCCATTAACAGATAGAGCCCTGATATGCAAAAGGAGAGGGTGACAGTGTCTGTGTCTGGCGCGAGGGATAGCTCAGTGGTTTGAACATTGGCCTACTAAACCCAGGGTTGTGAATTCAAGCCTTAAAGGGGCCATTTGGGGCAAAAATCTGTCTGGGGATTGGTCCTCCTTTGAGCAGGGGGTGGGACTAGATACCTCCTGAGGTCCCTTCCAACCCTGATATTCTATAAGCACACAGCTGGCTCCTGATGTTGTTGCTCAAAGGGGAGTTTTGCCTCACTGGTGTATGAGTGAATTACAGGCCGTGATCTAAGAATTTGGCCTTGTATTGCACATCTACTAACATCTTTCATCCTGAAGGATTCACTGTGCCACTGAAATGCACCATCCTGGGGCTGGAGGCCATCAGGCGGGATGAGCAGCGATGCACAGAAATCAGTGATATTTTGACCAGTGATTCTTTGGCAAACTCATCAATTATGGCAAGAGCCCTGGGATGTGTCATGGCTGTGCAGAGGAGAAAGGACCACAGACTTACTCTCTATCCCTCCACACCCACGTTACACAGGGTTTGAGATCAGGTGAGCTCCTCAGCAAGAGATGGGTACCTGTAAATTCTGAGACGGAAGTGTCCTTCCTGGGAATCACCCTCAGGTAGCCGTGTCCCACACCTCTCTCAGCCCAGCATCTGCAGCAGCATCCCACACCAAGAGCCAACACAGGGGTGTGCACAGTTTATAATATAGCTCTGTGTATTCCCAGTGGGGTTCGCTCAGCCTCTAGAGGAGAAGAGAACATCTGAATGTAAACAGGCTGGAGAAAAGCATGTCTCCACTTCTGTGCTAATTATCCAGCTTTAGGAGTAAACAGTAATTAAGGGACCTTCCCAAAGGGAGAGGAGAACTCCTGGGCTCTGTGCTGAGTCAGGGAGGAATTGGCTGTTTTGTGTATTTGTGTATATTTCTAAAATAGAGTTGATTATCAAGAAAATAAGGGATAATGCCTGGCTGTCCATAGGCTCTGGTACCCTGTAAATGCCCAGGATGGATGGATAGATAGGAGCAGGCAGATCTGGAGAAAGATGACTGAGGGGAAACATGAGCACTTTCTAAGACCATATGGGGCTGTCGCTGTGAGATCAGAGATCAATACATCTCTCTATCATCATACTG